CGCTTCTCCACGTTCACGATGCGCTGCAGCTGGAACCGCCTGCAGGGGAAACAGCCGGGCTGGGCACGGCCCCCGCCCACCAGCCCCTCTCCCACCCCAGCCCCTTCGACTCTGCTAGGCTCCTTCCTCTTGGCTAGCACAACCCTTTTTGTTCTCAGCTTTCCCTTGGTTTGCTGCACCGCTTCCAAAGTCCCATGGGAAGGTTTAGCACCTGTTTCCTCAATCCACAAGCATGTGGGATTTGATCTGGGATTCCAGCCAAGAGAAAATAGTTGGCCAGGGTAATGAAATAGAGGTGACACAGAAAATAAAAAATGTGTCTGCATGATTATGGGGCTGGTAATACTGAGTGTATTCAACACCTCCTACAACAATCTTGGCACAAGCAGTATGTTTGGGCTAGTGAAATTGGCTGATAACAGCTTATCAGCCAATAACAAGAAGTAGGACTAAGCAATCATACATTAAAAACTCGGGTGAGCTGTAGGTTCAGAATGGACAAAACAGGATGAAATGTCTGGTCACGCCCTTTTGGATTATAACAAGACCTTCTGCCATAAAATGGATGCTCATCAGTTAAAAATGCTGTGAAAAACTTGTGTGTGCTGATCAGTTACACCATGACCAGGATTGATGTGGCCCTGAAAAAGCAAATGCAATCTTAAGACAAGGCATGAGAGCTACTCCCAGCAGGGATTGGGAACTAATAACACCAATTCTATACAACATCCAGGAAACTGGACACTTGTGTACAGGCAAATTAACCCAAAATGAAACCCACACGGAGGAGAACAGATAGAAAAATTATGGAAATAGTGGCCAACTCAACAGAAGGGTCAGGAGTTGGGATTGTTTAGCTTAAAGAGGCTCAGAGGAGGTATGTCTGTTTGCCAGAAAGGCAATCAAGGTGGTAAGTCTTGAGAAGAAAAAGAATCATATCAAGACCATGCAAAAACAGAGTACCAGCAAAAGCTGATCTCCAGTGGGTCAACAAAGAAGCAACGAGATTAAATGTCTGCCCAAATCAGTACTAGGATCCAGAAATCTAGCTCATTTTAAGGTGGAGGTGCACACAATCAGATAACAGTGTAGGGTACTTGGTTGCCTCTGAGGTCAATGTACTGATCCACATGATCTGATAGGTCTCTTCTCGTCCTATGTTCTAAGAGATCCACAAGTTGAGATATGGCAGACATCAAACCACAAACACAAGGAGCTCCTGTCTTTTTTCATATCAGCAGGGTTTCTTAATCTTCGGCTGGTGAAATGCTCAAACATGCTCTCAATATCTACACTGCACAAGCACAAAGCCAGAAAAGGGCCAGTGATGCCAGCTGGACGGAGACAACCAATCTTTCATGTTTACACCACCAGGTGTAGAGGGCAATATTCAACCCCCAGACATGGTCTGGTGTCCAACAATTCTCATTTCTCAGCCAAAAGAGGTATTTAAAGCTCAGTTTTTTTACACAGGTTCCTTGCTTGAAGTCTCATTTCCCACATCTAGTTTAACCTGATTCCCACTAGCTCCTCACACAACAGGTATTCCCTGTGCAGCCTTGTACACCAGCTCTGGGACACTACTCCTTGTATTTTACACTGCACCTTACCCTTTACTTCTCTGGTTGAGCTTCTTCAGGAAGACACGTGTGACTTCCAGGGCCTCCTTTTCTCTTAGCAGCAAGTTTCCTGAGGTGTTGCATTTCAGGTCAATCCAGTCTGTGCGCAGCATATGGAAGTCCAGATTGCTTGCACTGAAGGTCTGCTCCCAGTTCACAGCCTGGTCAAACACTGGTAAGTAATTGAAATCCTCCTCCTCTTCATCCTCTGGTTCCCCATCTGCCTCTTCCTCTTCATCATCTGCTGCCTCAGGTCCAGACTTGACCTGCACAGGAGATGCCACCTGTGCCTCTCCCTTGCCCACCTCCCCATTGATCACTGCCTTGTGCTCGGCAATGTAGGACTCCACTTGGTTCAGCCAGTGGGACAGCCTGGGCTGCTGGCTGGGGCTGGCAGCACTCACAGCATGTCTGCCAGCTTTGCCAGAGACTGGGCCTCCCTCCCCAGCTGGCACGGTGCCTGCTGGCTGCAGCCTGTCCCTAGTGGTGCTGAGGTCCCCTCGAGTTCTCACCCCCTTGGGAATCATGACTCCTGAGTCCCTAGGGCTGCTGAAAGGCTGATGCTTTTCAGACACGGTCCCAGAAGGAGGGTTCACTTTTTTGACAGGTGCTCTCTCCTGGATGGCCCTAGCATGCTGCGGAGGGCTCCTAGAGTTGTCTTTGATGCCAGCTTTTAAACGGGTTCTCTTCATTATTGGGTTCCCTTCCAGGCCAGCCTGGCTGAGGCTTTGGTTGGCAGAGGCCAGTGTGACTGATGTGACACCAGATCTCTTCATCCTTCTTCTCTGCAGCCCCTCTTCCATGTTGCCAGCTGTCACTGAGAGGAGCCTACGACGTTCCCAGAGGAAATAGTCCTCATGAACGTTATCGCTGCCCACCATGCTGCCGAGAGTGTTGCCTGCCGGCCCTGCCCTCTCCAGGCCTGGGGGACTGGTACCCTCCACGTCCTGCTCTGCGTACTGCAGATCGTCCAGGTTCCTCTCCTGGGAGCCTGAGGGACCAATCACAGTTACACTTCTGGCATCCCCCCGCTGTCTTCCCCGGTCCTGACCCAGGCACCCACCCACCAGGGGCAGCTGCTTCTCGCCTCATCTCAGTGGTGTGTCTCCTGTTCAGAGGGACAGGGATGTTCTCACACACGGGACCCGTGCTCCTGCTGGTACCAACCTCCTCAGCACCTATTAGCCAGCATTGCCAAAGGCTGGGGAGCTGTCTGGCTCTGCCTTTAGCTGTCAATCTGGCCACAGCTTTGCAGGGCAGCAACTATCTCCTGGCCCCATCAGTCTGGCAGGGAAGGGCTGTGATTTTCTTGGTACAGAAAGTCAACAGCTTCTTTCAGCTGATGCTGGAAGATGACATGCAAATGTGACAGATGAAAGGCTCCTCCACGTTCCGACATTAGGGCCCCTACCTGGCTGCTCTGTCTTTTCTCCAGAGTCCAGGCTTTTCTGTGGGTGATCCATTTTCATGTACTTGTAGAATCCAAATCTGCAGAAGGAAAGGCAGAACACCAGTTCAATGAAAGTTACTTTGCCGTCTCCAAATAAATTATGGCCACAGCTTCAGAGGTGATGATCCATCACTCTGATTACATCTACCCAGCATCTCTAGATCCTCCTTTCCCAGCAAGCCATGGACTATTATCATACCTATCTTTCAAACCTTTGGGCAATCAGATTCTGCTCTGCACTGTCAAGGACATCAGCTCCCTTGCTTATCATCCCAGTCTTTCAGACATTTTCTCATAAGCACAAAGGGAGTTCCCAGTATCGGTACTCTGAAACTTTTCTTTAGTCTCCCTTAAATTGCTCCTTAAAGCTCACTTATGATGTAGTGCTCACAATCGCATGTCATCATGCTGCAAAAGTGGCTCAGGCAGGTAATTGCAATGATCTCCCTCTCTCTTCTTTCACACCACCACTGGCTGTCCTCATATGTCTTCTGGAGAGGAATTCCAGGACTGTTTCCATCCATGTATGCTTGATACCAAGCAAAATGGGACCCCAGTTCCCAAATTTTTTCACAACACAAATGAATTATCAAAGCAATACACCTGGGTGGCACCTTCCAGCCCACAGCAGCCACCTTCTCTACCCTTCACTATGAACCACAGTCTCAGGAGTTCCCTCCCACACCTATAACAAGTTCTGTTGTTCCAGCTCTCAAAATAGTCCTGAAGGGAGGAAAAAGATCATGAACATAGGGATGCCATCATCAGTTATCTCATTGGGAAAGTGACTCTTATCCTGAAAAAAAAGTCCTCCTGAATGGAAGAAGGTCCTCACACAAGGTGTCTGCCTGTGGCAGGGGAAGAGCAGGCGAGTGGTGGTTACCTAAGAGAAGATGAATGACAAGCATTTATTCTGCAGGAGAGATGCCTGATGGTGAGCATGGTTTAGCTTTCATAGTGACAGCCATCAGGAGGTTCCAGCTGCTGGCAGGCAAATCCATGCCCTGAAGTAGTGGACCAAATATGCTCTGACCCAGTGTCCAGGTTAACAGAGCAAGAAAAGAAGTGGCAGTTTCCCCTTGAGACCTAAATGTATTTTCACTTAAAGGGAGCATAGGTTATCAAAAGAAATTACAAATGCTTTCATGTTTTGCAGGACGTAGGGGATCTTTAAGAATTAAGAAAGTCCTACAGAAATTAGTATGAAATTCCACCCAATTTCCAACCTTCAAACCATCTCCTTCCTCCCTGCTAGCAAATATGGATTTGCAGCATTCTACCTTTCCAAGTAATAAGGGTTTTCCTGATAGAAGCATTTGTTGTCTTTCTCCATGTGGCTCAGGCGGCTGTAATCATTCGGGTAAACAAAGGATAAATGAACCTGGGACGAAGAGAGGAAAATGAAGTAAGCCTCACATAAACGCCATCTATCAGTCACAAGGCAACCCAGACACAGTTGCAGGGCCACCAGCCCTTTTGAGAGGGAGCAGGGGTTGCTCACTAACTATTTGCCTCTCCAAGACACCCAGCAGCAAGCTGTGAGAATGGAAAACAGAAAGAAGCATTCTGGGATGTGTGCCCAGGTGTGCCTTTTTCTCTCTCTCTTGGCATCTGTTTGTCCATCTCTGTAACTGTGCATTTCAGTCCTGTGACAGAGTGAGAACTAGCTGGGAGAGAGGTGGGCAAGTCCTCCTGAGGAGGTGCAGGGATCAGAAGAGCCCAGAAAACATGTGAGGAGATCTCCAGGCAAGGCTGAGGGAGCTGAGGCCACCCAGGATGCAAGTCCCTTGGGGATTGTAGGCTTGCACTGGCACCCAGGGATGGTAAACTGTGCTGGTGACTTTAATTAATTAATCAATCCTTGCTGTGTTGCATGTCCCACAAACGTGAGCTCCCCCTCAAGGCCAGTTTATTTTTGTCAGGCACTTCAGTAGTCCACACAGACTACAGTTCACCCCACAGATAATAAAAGCCTCAGCTATTGTGAGGCTCTGGTGAAGGCAAGCTTGGCTATTTGGTTTGAGGTCCAAGGGGCTCTGTAAGATGCACACACACTGGTACCCCAGTAAAACCTGTGAGCAGGGCATAGCACCCATCTCACAGCAACCGTCTGGTGTTGCCCTTTGGCATGTAGCGGGATACACAGGCCTGAACAGCAGATGGTCAAACCTGCCCAGGAGCTTCAGATTGGAGGAGACGCCCATGGTTAATGGGTCTCCCTCCTTCCAACTTGCATTCCCTTGGCAGGTATCTGCTCCAGGAATAAAACTTACAAACTGGAGTCCCTGGTATCGCTGCAGAGGAAATCCATTCACCACGTAGCTGGGCTTGTAGGAGCAGTCTGGCAAGGCTCGGTGCACACGAGACTTGCTGAGCAGAGGCACTGAGAAGAAGAAACACGCAGGCAAGCATTGCTGGAGGAGCCCTGCTGCAACCAGTGCACCAGCTTACCTACTTCTGTGCCTGGCTTCTATTTATCCACGTGAAAGGCTAACGGATATGTAAAGCAAACTGTCTTGCACAGCTCATCTCTTCACATTGCTCTACAGCACTTAGACTAAGCTATTACACCCAGGGATGTTGTGTGAGCTGGATGGCAAGAAAGAGGAGCTGGGTTTAGTCTGTGCTTTGTTGCCTACAGTGACTGACACTGTATGTTGTCCTCTCAGCACCGGCCTTTGCTAACTGTGGCGTAGGAGGACAATCGTTCTTGGTGGTGCTACTGCACGTGCTGTGACAAGCTGCAGCTACCTCTTCAACTGCTGTGTATGTCTTACCTTTGTACAGAGTGTCCCGGGGGTCAGGCTTCAACATGTCAGCTGGGTGTGCCTTGCTGCCTGCCCTGTCAGCAGGCCGCCTCGTGTGACTGGCCAGTGTCTGCGGGATATGCCCAACCTCATCCATCTTTAAAAGTGTCTCATCTAGAAACCAGAGAGAGAACGAAGGAGGAGAAAGGGCTAGTTCGTCCCATATCCCCAAAAATGCCCTTCCCCAGTCTCAGTGCTTTCCAAATGGCATTGCATCCATAGCACTAATGCTGCCTCTGGCATAGCCTAAATGGTGCTGATTACTGTAAAGACACAATGGGAAGGAAAGCTGGAAAATGAGAAAGCTGGAAATACAGAACCTGTAGGGTAAGGACACAGCTAGCACTGAAAGCAAACACATACAGTAATGACTAAATGGAGGAAAACGACCTCCTGCCTCAGATGTGCCAGCAGTGGTGTGCTCAAGAAGCCCCATGCTGGCAGGAATTACTGGACACATCTGAATTATTAGTATTAAATTTATTTTAAAAGGAGACAGAAAAGATGAAGGGGAGGAGAAATTAGATAAGTGGAGCTTTCTCCTGTGCTAGAAAAGAAGGATCAAGGGATCTTGTGTGATGCGAGTCTTCAGTTCTACAGGGAGGTAATAAGAGGAGCAGAAGCAAAAAGGATGGGGACATAAGACTGAAAGGAAAGGCTAGTCCTGGTCAAATGGCAGGTTCCAGAAAATACAGCAGCAGGTTGTGACCCATAACACAGCAAAGAAATGTCTTGATTACTTCAGGAAGTCTTCCATGGTCAAAAGTGTTAGCATGGAAAAAGGCCTGGAGATGTTGGAAGACAACAGTGGTAGATCTGGAGAGCAGGAAT